ACGAAAAACAGATAGCAGGAGATAGCATCTCTCAAGCGATCATATGTGAAAAGGCTAGGAAGTTGCATGACGATTTAATTAAAAAAATGCCAGCAACTAGTGGTGATGTGAGTGAATTTAAGGCCAGCAAAGGTTGGTTTGAGAGATTTAAGAATCATAGTGGCATACATAGTGTGATAAGGCATGGTGAGGCTGCCAGTTCAGACCACAAAGCGGCTGAAAAATATGTGCAGGAATTCAAGGAGTACATAGACAGTGAAGAATTGAAACCTCAACAAGTGTTTAATTGTGATGAAACAGGCCTGTTTTGGAAGAAAATGCCAAGCAGGACCTACATTACTCAGGAGGAAAAGGCACTCCCAGGACATAAGCCTATGAAAGACAGGCTTACTCTGTTGATGTGTGCCAATGCTAGTGGTGTTTGCAAAGTGAAGCTTTTATTGGTGTATCACTCTGAAACTCCCAGAGTGTTCAGGAAAAACAATGTCCTCAAGGCTAATTTGTGTGTGCTGTGGAGGGCAAACAGTAAGGCATGGGTCACTAGGGACTTTTTCTATGACTGGTTACACCATGCATTTGCCCCCACTGTGAAAAATTACCTCCTGGAAAATAAATTGGACCTTAAGTGCCTCCTGGTATTAGACAGTGCTCCTGGCCATCCTTCAGACTTGGCAGAGCAACTTTCTGTGGACCTGAGCTTCATTAAGGTGAAGTTTTTGCCTCCTAATACCACTCCTCTCCTGCAGCCCATGGACCAGCAGGTCATTGCAAACTTCAAGAAACTGTACACAAAAGCTGTGTTTGAAAGGTGCTTTGTAATGACCTCAGAAACTCAACTGACTCTAAGAGAGTTTTGAAGAGATCACTTTAGCATCCTCAGTTGTGTAAACATTATAGGTAAGGCTTGGGAGGAAGTGACTAAGAGGACCTTGAACTCTGCTTGGAAAAAGCTGTGGCCAGAATGTGTAGACAAAAGGGATTTTGAAGGGATTGAGGCTAACCCTGGGAATCCTATGCCAGTTGAGGAATCCATTGTGGCATTGGGGAAGTCCTTGGGGTTGGAGGTTAGTGGGGAGGATGTGGAAGAGTTGGTGGAGGAGGACAATGAAGAACTAACCACTGATGAGCTGCTAGATCATCTTCAACAGCAAGAGGCCAGACCTGAGGAAACTGCTTCGGAGGAGTGGATAGAGAAATTGAAGAAGTTGCCTACTTCAAAGATTAAGGAAATGTGTGCAATGTGGCTTAAAGTGCAAACCTTTTTTGATGAAAATCACCCTGACACAGCTACTGCAAGCAGTGTTGGCAACCTGTTCACTGACAATGTTGTGAAACACTTTAGGAATGTCATAAAGGAACGGGAGGTACAGGCCTCTATGGACAGATATGTTGGGCGACAAAGGTCCAGTGACTCTCATGCTGGTCCTAGTGGCATTAAAGAAGAAGGGAAGCAACCCTGGAAAAGGACTTGCCACCTCAAGTCCTAATGGAAGGGGATTCCCCTTCTAAACACTAACACCATCAACACTCTCCCCTCCTCCCATCCCATCAATCATCACCAGATCTTCAATAAAGGTAAGTGTCATGTAACTGTGCATATCTTCTTCAGTTTGTGTGTATTAAAATTAATATTTCATGTGGTAAAAATTTTTTTTTCAATACTTTGGGGTGTCCGGAACAGATTAATTTGATTTACATTATTTCTTATGGGGAAAATTAACTCGACTAACGATAATTTCGATTAACGAGGAGCTCTCAGGAACGGATTAATATCGTTGATCGAGGGTCCACTGTACTTACAAAATGTTTTGATACAAGTTCCATTTATGTTTTTGATATTGTCTGTTTGTATAATAAATTTAAAAAAATAGTTATTGGGTGTTTTATTAACAATTGCAAGTTTGCAACATTCAGATTTTTACTCCCTATTTCGGGCAGGGGTGAAAATATTCGCCTTTCGGAGATTAGCAGTTGCTCGAAAAATAACCATCAGAATTCCATTTATATGGCCTCATTCAACTTATATTGAGATACTCTATCCACTCTAGGGAGTTCTGTTTGAATTTCTAATGTATCATAAATTGCCCTCTGAAGGGTTAAATATCGTGTAGCTGTGTAGCCCAGGCAGACTATTTACCTACATTATTATTATAACTGATAATTATACGTATGTGTAGCTGTACCTAAGTAAACTTACACACTGTGCTGGCATGCAGATACACATTAAAATCACTAAGTGTCTTATTAGTCTTGAAGATGCCATATTAATGATAATAAATTATAACACAATAATAATCACTCTATGGAGCATTAAATATCGTATAAAATGTTAATATAGACATTTTGCTTAATCCATCTAAATACACCCTGCACTAGAATAAATTAACATAAATATGAGATGTGGTAGTCAGGAACTTGTAGGACTTGTGGTAGTCAGGCAACTTGTAGAACTTGTGGTAGTCAGGCAACTTGTAGGACTTGTGGAAGTCAGGCAACTTGTAGGACTTGTGGTAGCCAGGCAACTTGTAGGACTTGTGGTAGCCAGGCAACTTGTAGGACTTGTGGTAGCCAGGCAACTTGTAGGACTTGTGGTAGCCAAGCAACTTGTAGGACTTGTGGTAGCCAGGCAACTTGTAGGACTTGTGGTAGCCAGGCAACTTGTAGGACTTGTGGTAGCCAGGCAACTTGTAGGACTTGTGGTAGCAGGCAACTTGTAGGACTTGTGGTAGCCAAGCAATTTGTAGGACTTGTGGTAGCCAGGCAACTTGTAGGACTTGTGGTAGCCAGGCAACTTGTAGGACTTGTGGTAGTCAGGCAACTTGTAGGACTTGTGGAAGTCAGGCAACTTGTAGGACTTGTGGTAGCCAGGCAACTTGTAGGACTTGTGGTAGCCAGGCAACTTGTAGGACTTGTGGTAGCCAGGCAACTTGTAGGACTTGTGGTAGCCAGGCAACTTGTAGGACTTGTGGTAGCCAGGCAACTTGTAGGACTTGTGGTAGCAGGCAACTTGTAGGACTTGTGGTAGACAGACAACTTGTAGGACTTGTGGTAGTCAGGCAACTTGTAGGACTTGTGGTAGCCAGGCAACTTGTAGGACTTGTGGTAGCCAGGCAACTTGTAGGACTTGTGGTAGCCAGGCAACTTGTAGGACTTGTGGTAGCCAGGCAATTTGTAGGACTTGTGGTAGCCAGGCAACTTGTAGGACTTGTGGTAGCCAGGCAACTTGTAGGACTTGTGGTAGCCAGGCAACTTGTAGGACTTGTGGTAGCCAAGCAATTTGTAGGACTTGTGGTAGCCAGGCAACTTGTAGGGCTTGTGGTAGCCAGGCAACTTGTAGGGCTTGTGGTAGCCAGGCAACTTGTAGGACTTGTGGTAGCCAGGCAACTTGTAGGGCTTGTGGTAGCCAGGCAACTTGTAGGACTTGTGGTAGCCAGGCAACTTGTAGGGCTTGTGGTAGCCAGGCAACTTGTAGGACTTGTGACGAAAACCAGACACGTTCATCTGGTTTGTTTACATTATGTGTGGGTGGGGTGGGGAGGGCTGCCCTTCCTGGCTACCCATACTTCCCATCTTGACTTCATACAAATAAAACTCACCTCTCACCCTACATTAAGACTACAAATATTTTAAGGTAATTAATGAGTGTACTATATATGCATTTTATCGCTCTAGGAACTTTAAGCATCGTAGTATAGTATGTGTGGGTGGGGAGGCCAGGAGGGCTGCCACACCTGACTTCTTAGAGTAAATACTACTCACCTTTTGCCCTACATTAGGGCTACAAATATTTTGAGGTAAATAATGAGTGTACTGTGTGTGTATTTTACTTTTTAATGCCTAGTTCTATTGCTAACTTAATATAGATTAGTGTAAACTTGTTATCTGGCATTTATATGCATTTATAAATGAAAAAATGGAGTTCTGCTTTCTGGCGAAGTCTGCTTTCCAGCAGTAGCCTGGAACCTAACCTGCCGAATAAGTGGGGCCCTACTGTATATATATATATATAATGGTAATAAATGATAAAATAGACTAGTATCATATATTTTATGCATTCATGACATACCTAACTTTTTCTTAATTTTTTTGATATTTCTAGGCTACACGGTTCATCTGCGAGTTTTTTCAAATTGTGGCAAACCTTCAAAAAATTTTTCAGTGTGTTTATTGAAAAAATCTACATATAAGTGGACCTGTGCAGTTCAAACTCATGTTGTTCAACTGTCAACTGTATACGTATAGAAATAAATTACGTTTCTGTGTAAAGAATTTTAAAATTTATATTTAGTACTTTTTTTATTAACACATCGGAAGTTTCCCACTAAGGTAGGGTGGCCCCCCCCAAAAAAAACCTTCATCATCATTCACTCCATTACTGTCCTGCCAGAGGCATGCTTATGCTGCAGTTATAAAACTGCAACATTAACACCCCTCCTTCAGAGTGCAGACATTGTACTTCCCATCTCCAGGACTAAGAGTCACTCGAAGTCATTCTATTTTGTTCCACCCTCTCTACATGTCTGAACCACCTAACTCCTCCTCAGCCCTCTGGATAATAGTTTTGCAGTTGTGTGAGGTTCTACCAGTGGCTCTCCTGGAAATTGTGATGAAATAGTGTGGTTCAGTTATAGCAAGTATCTCTCTGAGCATATATTAGTTTTATTGTAGGTCATTATTACTTGACTCACGAAATCGTATTGACAAGATTGCAAACAAACTGTAATATGTTGACGGCCATGCTAACGGTAGATTCGTCTGTAAAAACTTGCATTTGTGGTCACAGTGGTGCCTATGCTAACTTTCCTTTGGTGTAGAAATATACCTAGTTGGATGAATCTTATTGAAGCTAGCTGGCCCAGTGGCTAACATGACGGTCAGAAGTTTTGAGACTCTCTGATTGTGGGTTCTAATCCCACCCATGGTATGTTTTTTTTTTTTTTTAGGTCATTATTGTATGTAGTTTCCATACAGTTTTTGATAATGCAGTCTTTTTTCCCCAGATGTACATCTTGTGTGTTCGTGATTATGAATTTCACATCCTTGACAACGCATTCTTAGTGCACAAGCCAGGCATCAAGAAAATACACAAAGATCCTTTTCGAGATAGGATTGTGGCCAAGCAGAACAGTGCAATCAGCAGCAAGATTTTCCCTGAGTACAAGACAATTTTTGGGTTCCGCAAGAGCTGTGTTATATGATTCTTGTTAGAATATATTTTTAAATTTTTCTATATTTTTAGTGAAATTATTTTTAATGCTAAATTCATATAATAGTTTTACTGGCAATATAATATTTGTAGAATTTAAAGCATAGTTGTTACTGAGTATAAAATTAAATATGAAAATCTGAAAGTTTATTGGCAGTTGTGTAGATTGAAGTGCATAAGTGAAAAACACACTGCACTCTGGTCTGTCACTACTTGTAAAGAGCTGTACGTACTTGGTAAGACAGTTCAATAAGCCTTCCATTGTTAAGTCTTCAGTAGTATTATGTGTAGCCTACCATATCAAGAGCTCTGTGATGATGCAAATGTAATATTAAGATGTAGTTAATAAGGGAACTGTGAATCACTATACATTCACATATATATTTAATAAGTACCAATAATTTTATATATTTATAATCTTGACTTGAAATGTGACAAATTCTTCAATGCATATGATATTGGGTAACTGATAGTGTATGAGAGTCTCAGGCTTAATTTTTACATTTTCAGTGAATTTGGTGATTTTTAATTTATTAAAACTTATTCAGTTAAATATTGCCAGTGATAAAGAAAATATTTTATTACTACAGCTAAATTGTTTGAGTGCAGAAACAGCAAGTTACATTACTGTAATACGTACAGTATTATGTTAACATTTTAATGTATAAATTTTATACTTGAAGTAAATTAAGGGTACTCTGTGTGTGTGTGTGTGTGTGTGTGTGTGTGTGTGTGTGTGTGTGTGTGTGTGTGTGTGTGCGTGTGCATCTTCATAGGTTTTATTGTATATAGGTTCATTGTTTGATTGTCTCCTGCTGGCTTGCATGTGGTGCCTCTAACTTAGCTAGCCCTGGGGACAGTCAGGGCAAACCGAATACAGTATCTATTCTGCTTTACTTATTGCCAGATTGTCTCTTGCTTGGCTTGTGTGTGGTGCTTGGATTAAGTTTATCCTGGGGACAGTCAATGCAAAGTGAACATCTGTTTTGATGTTCTAAGCATGAGTGTGTCATAAGCTTTTTGCCAAATTTTTAAGTTTCTTAACATGAGGAGTGCATGTAAAATGATAAATCTCACTACATTCAACTCAGTCCACTAGGGCTACATCAGTCATCTCCACACACTTTCACATCAACAAGAAATGTCTATTAAAATGCAATGTTAAATTTATTATTTTTGATGTACAGTACTTTGGTATTTTAAAATGTCATTTTTTTTTTTAACACACCAGCCGTCTCCAACTGAGGCAGGGCAACTTGAAAATTAAGACAAAAGGTTTTCTTTCCACATTTAGTAATTTATACAGGAGAACAGGCTACTAGCCTCTGAATCCCAGCACTTAGTCAATTCTTATGGCTTAAGAAGAAAGGATTCTCTATCCACTTTCCCATGGATATCCTTCAGATTATTTTTTTTTATTAACACATCGGCAGTTTCCCATTAAAGTAGGGTGTCCCGAAAAGGAAAAACTTTCACCATTATTTACTCCATCACTGTCTTGCCAGAGGTGTGCTTACACTACAGTTATAAAATTGCAACATTAACACCCTCCTTCAGAGTGCAGACACTGTACTTCCCATCTCCAGGACTTAAGTCCAGCCTGCAGGTTTCACTGAATCCCTTCATAAATATTACCCTGCTCACATTCCAATAGCACATCAAGTCCTAAAAACCATTTGTCTCCATTTGCTCCTATCTAGCATGCTCACGCATGCTTGCTGGAAGTCCAAGCCCCTCACACACAAAACCTCCTTTACCCCCTCCCTCCAACCATTCCTAGGTCAACCTCTACTCTGCCTTCCTTCCACTACAGATTTTTATACTCTTGAAGTCATTCTATTTTGTTCCACCCCCTCTACATGTCCGAACCACCTCAACAACCCCTCCTCAACCCTCTGGATAATGGTTTTGGTAATCCCGCACCTCCTCATAGTTTCCAAACTGTGAATTCTCTGCATTATATTCACACCACACATTGTCCTCAGACACGACATCTCCACTGCCTCCAGCCTTTTCCTTGTTGCAACATTCACCACCCATGCTTCGCACGCATATAAGAGCGCTGGTATAACTATGCTCTCATACATTCCCCTCTTTGCTTCCATGGACACAGTTCTTTGTCTTCACAGACTCCTCAGTGCACCACTTACCTTTTTCCCCTCATCAATTCTGTGATTCACCTCATCTTTCATAGACCCATCTGCTGACACGTCCACTCCTAAATATCTGAATACATTCACCTCCTGCATACTCTCTCCCTCCAATCTGATATCCAATCTTTCATTACCTATTTTTTTTTATCCTCATCACCTTACTCTTTCCTATATTTACTTTTAATTTTCTTTTTTTACACACCCTGCCAGTCTCATCCACCAGCCTCTGCAAGATTACTTAGCACTGAATTAGATCATATAATAATTTTCAAGAATAATCCTCATTCTTATTGATCTGTTGGTTTTGTGTATGTGTACTCACCTATTTGTGGTTGCAGGGGTTGAGTCATAGCTCCTGGCCCTGCCTCTGTGTCATTATCATGTCTCCCCCTACCCTCCTGTCTTCCAGTGTCATCAGACTGATTTCGCTTAACCTCTCTTTGTAGGACAATCCCCTTAGCTCTGGAACTAGTCTTGTTGCAAACCTTTGCACTTTCTCTAATTTCTTGACGTTCTTGACCAGATGTGGATTCCAAAGTGGTGCTGCATACTCCAGTATAGGCTCATCTCCTGAGGTGCACATCAATCAGATGTGCACCTCAGGAGATGAGCTTGGTATTATACTTACCCCAAGATCTTTTTCCTTGAGTGAGGTTTGTAGTCTTTGGCCACCTACCAGGAGTTTACCTGGAGAGGGTTTCAGGGCTCAATGCTCCCGTGGCTCGGAGACCAGGCCTCATGGTGGATCAGGGTCTGATCAACCAGGCTGTTACTGCTGGCCGCACGCACGCTGACATACGAACCACAGCCTGGTTGGTCAGGTACTGACTTTAGGTCTCTGTCCAGTGCCTGCTTAAAGACAGCCAGGGGTCTATTGGTAAACCCCCTTATGTATGCTGGGAGGCAGTTGAACAGTCTTGGTCCCCAAACACTTATTGTGTTGTCTCTCAGTGTACTTGTGGCGCCCCTGCTTTTCATCGGGGAAATGTTGCATCTCCTGCTGAGTCTTTTGCTTTCATAGGGAGTGATTTTCATGTGCAGGTTTAGTACCAATCCCTCCAGGACCTTCGAAGTGTATATTATCATGTATCTGTCTCGCATGCATTCCAGGGAATACAGATCAAGGACCTTCAACCATTCCCAGTAATTTAGGTGCCTTTTCGTACTAATATGTGCGATGAAAGTTCTTTGTACACTCTCCAGGTCTGCAATGTCACCAGCCTTGAAGGGGGCCATTAGTGTACAGCAATATTCCAGCCTAGAGAGCACAAGTGATTTGAAGAGAATCATCATGGGCTTGACATCCCTAATTTTGAAGGTTCTCATTATCCATCCTATCATTTTCCTAGTAGGTGAGGTAGATACATTGTTGTGTTCTTTGAAGGCGAGGTTGTCTGACATTATCACTCCCAAGCCCTTCACATTACTTTTCCTCTCTATTGTATGGTTATAATTTGTTGTATCCCCTGATACATTTTTAATTTCCTCAAGTTTCCCATATCTGAGTAGTTGAAATTTCTCTTCATTGAACTTCATATTGTTTTAAGTGGTCCATTTGAAGATTTGGTTGATGTCCGCTTGGAGTCTCGCGGTGTCTTCAATGGATGTCACTGCCATGGTGGCCTGGTGGTTAACGCTCTCGCTTCACACGGCGAGGGCCTGGGTTCGATTCCCAGCCAGAGTAGAAACATTGGGCGTGTTTCTTTCCACCTGTTGTCTATGTTCCCCATCAGTAAAATGGGATACCTGGGTGTTAGTCGACTGGTGTGGGTCGCATCCTGGGACACTGACCTAATTTGCCCGAGATGCTCAGCATAACAAGTGGCTTTCTATGTAGTAGTATGTCATTGTTGTCAGCTAGGACTGCATGCCATGTACTTGTAGTAAATAAAGATTATTATTATTATTATTATATTATCTGCAAAGGAAGACATGGAGCTATGGCATACATCTTTGTCTATGTCAGAAATGAGGATGAGGAATAGAATGGGAACGAGTACTGTGCCTTGTGGAACAGAGCTTTTTACTGTGGCTGCCTGGGACTTTACTTTGTTTACTATTACTCTTTGTGTTCTATTTGTCAGGAAGTTATAGATCCACCTACCAACTTTTTCTGTTATTCCTTTATCATGCATTTTGTGTGGTCACACTTGTCGAAAGCTTTTGCAAAGTCTGTGTATACTACATCTGTATTTTGTTTATCCTTTACAGCATCCAGGACATTGTCATAGTGGTCCAGTAGCTGGGACAGGCAGGAGCAACCTGCTCTAAACCCGTGTTGCCCTGGGTTGTGTAATTGATGGGTATCTAGGTGATTGGCAATCTTGCCTCTTAGAACCCTCTCAAAGATTTTTATGATATGGGATGTTAGTGTTATCAGTCTGTAGTTCTTTGCAATTGCTTTACTGCCACATTTGTGGAGTGGGGCTATGTCTTGTTTTCAGTGTGTGTTGGATGACCCCTGTGTCCATTCTCCCTCTTCATAAAATGCTGAAGACACGTGATAGGGGCTTCTTGCAATTCTTGATGAACATGAAGTTCCATGAGTCTGAGCCTGGGGCAGAGTGCATGGGCATGTCATTTATTGCCTCTTCAGAGTCTTGTGGAGTTAGGATAATATCCAAGATTTTTGAGATGACAAAATTTTGGGTTTCGTTCATAAAGAATTCATTTGGTTTGTTGACCGTTAGTCTGGGCAGCGGCTCACTGAACACTGAGTCATGTTGGGACTTTAGTTTCTCATTCATTTCTTGGCTGTCATCTGAGTATGTCCCATTCTGCCTAAGTAGGAGCCCAGTACTGGATGTTGTTTTTCCCTTAGATATGGAATAAGAGAAGAAGTATTTTGTTTTTTTTTTTCAATTTTCTTTATGGCTTTTATTTCTTCTTGTGATTCTTGTCTCCTGTAAGAGTCCTTCAGCTTAAGTTCGATATCTGCAATTTCATTGACTAGTGCCTTCCTTCGTATTTCAGATATATTGGCCCCACTGAGCAGCTCTGTAACTCTTCGCCTTCATTTGTATAGGGAGCATCTCTCTCTTTCTAGTTTACATGTTCTCTTTCTTTTTCTTAATGGAATGTGTCTTGAGCAGATCTCAAGAACCACAGAGTTCTTTATGTTGTGATCTGAGTGTATTGTCTTTGATATGGTTATATTACATATCAGATCGTCGTTGTTAGTGAAGATGAGGTCCAGCATATTTTTTAATCTTGCAGGCTCTTCTAGTTGCTGGTTTAAGGTGAATTTGGTGCAGAGATTTAATAGTTCGTGTGTGTGTGAATTTTCATTTGAGCTGCCTCCTGGGGTGATCTCTGCTAAAACATTTTTTGCTATACTCCTCCATTTTAGGTGTCTCAAGTTGAAATCTCCTAGAAGATGTTTGGGGCAGGAGTCGGGAGATTTTCTAAACAGTGGTCAATTTTCTCAAGCTGCTTCTGGAATTGCTGGGAAGTTGCATCTGGAGGCTTGTATATCACCACAATGACAAGGGTTTAGTTTTCAGTCTTTACCACCAAAACTTCAACTACATCATTTGAGGTGTTTAGTAGTTCTGTGCAAATGAGTGACTCTGTGACGTACAGGCCAACCCCCCCTTGTTGCCTGTTTAGTCTGTGGCATCGGAATAGGTTATAGCCTGGGATCCATATTTCATTGTCATAATGATCCTTTATGTGGACCTCTGTGAATGCTGCAAACATTGCATTTAACTCCATGAGCAGTCCCTTGATGTAAGGAATTTTGTTGTTTTTTGATGGCTTTAGACCCTGCATGTTTGCAAAGACAAATGTCATTATATTGGTGGAATTTATGGGGGGTTATTTTTGCTGGCTCTAATATCTGTTCTTCTAGAGTAGAGGCCAATGTCCGTGCCTCAGCTCCAGAAGTGTTTTCAGTTGGTGCAGAATTATTGCCATTTCTTGCCAGTCTTTTTTCCCTAATGACCCTTAAAAAACCTCTGTCCCTGGAGAGGTTGTGACTTCCTTTTTTTTTCCCCATTTTCTGGCTGGTCTGTGTCTTCTAGTCCCCTTTAGTCTTCTTTGCCCTTCCCCGATCTTCATGACTTTGCATTTGTTGGGGTTAAATTCAAGGAGCCAGTTGCTGGACCAGGCTTGTAGCCTGTCCAGGTCTCTTTGTAGTCCTGCCTGATCCTCGACCAATTTAATTCTCTTCATTAACTTCACATCATCTGCAAACAGAGACACTTCTGAGTCTATCCCTTCTGTTATGTCATTCACATGTACCAAAAACAGCACAGGTCCTAGGACTGACCCCTGTGGAAACCCGCTCATCGCAGGTGCCCACTTTGACACCTTGTCTCATACCATGACTCGCTGTTGCCGCCTTGTCAGATATTCTCTGATCCATTGCAGTGCCTTCCCTGTTATGAGTGCCTGATCCTCTAGCTTTTGCATTTACCTCTTGTGAGGAGCTGTATCAAAGACCTTGCAGTCCAAGAAAATGCAGTCTATCCACCCTGCTCTCTCTCTCATGTCTTACTTCTGTTACCTTGTCATGAAACTCCAGTAGGTTTGTGATACAGGATTTTCCTTCTCTGAAACTGTGCTGGTTGTTGTTTATAAGCTTGTGTCTTTTTAGGTGCTCCACCACTCTCCTCCTGATGATGATCTCCATGACTTTGCATACTATACACGTCAGTGACACAGTTCTGTAGTTTAATGCCTCTTGTCTGTCTCTCTTTCTTAAAAATTGGGACTACATTTGCTGTCTTCCATACCTCAGGTAGTTGCCCAGTTTCAATGGATGTGTTGAAAATTTTTGTTTGTGGCACACAGAGCATCTCTGCTCCCTCTCTAAGGAACCACAGAGAGATATCTGGTCCCACTGCCTTTACGGTATCAAGTTATCATAGCAGTTTTTTCACCTCCTCCTTGGTTGTGTGTATTTCATCCAGCACTTGTTGGTGTACCTCCCTATTCTGAATTCCTGGAGTCCTTCCTATCTCCACTGTAAGTACTTCTTTAAATCTCATATTGAGCTCCCATATACCTCTTGGTCATTTCTTGTGAACTCCCTACCTTCCTTCCTTCCTTAGCCTGATTACCTGGTCCCTGACTGTTGTTTTCCTCCTGATGTGGCTATACAGCAGCATCAGGTCAGATTTGACTTTTGATGCTATGTCATTTTCGTATTGTCCCTGAGCCTCCCTTCATATCTGTGCATATTTCGTGTCTGGCTCTTTGGCTAATCTCTTTATTTTCCTGGGTCCTTTGTCTTCTGTACTTTTTCCATTCTCTAGTGCACTTAGTTTTTACCTCCCTACCCCTTTGGGTGAATCAGTGCCTTGTTCTGGTCTTCCCATTATTTCTGTTTCCTTGGGTACAAACATTTCCTCTGCCTCCTTGCATTTTGTTGTCACATATTCCATCATTTCTTTTACTGGTTTTCCTGTCAATTCTCTCTCCCACTGAACGTCTTGCAGGAAGTTCTTCATGCCTGTGTAGTCCCCCCATACCCTCTCCACTTGTAGCTCAGCTATGTAATCAAAGCACAAAACCCCATGATCACTAGCTCCAAGGGGCCTTTCGTATGTGATATCCTCGATGTCCGAAATACTCAAGGTGAATACTAGATCCAGCCTTGCTGGGTACATGCATGCATGTGCACGTTAATGCATGCATGTACCATATTTTCCAGCAGATAAGGCACATGACAAATATCATATCAGTAAATCAGTATTTGTATTTAAGGGCTAATTATCTTCTTATTTTACACTAAAGCGTAACCCAAAGTTAGTTTAACATCTTTATTATGCACCCCATACCCATCCTGTGGGTGGTAGTCAAAAAGGTAATGAACCATTCACATGTCTACACCTGATCAGAGGTACATAATGGGTCCAGGGATTGGGTCCTAAAGTTTTGATAGCTGAATAAGTTACAAAGTTTTGATAGCTGAACAAGTTACAAAAGTAATGAATCATTCACACATCCACACTCCATAACAGCTACAATGAGTTATTAATGCAACTATTAGCTTTATTTACAGCGAGCAAAATCAGGGATATTCCTCCAGAACATACCAAAAGCCAACCCTTGGCCTTGACCATATAAGGCACTGGGTAATTTTCTAAAACTTTTTGTGGGAAAAAAGGCATGTGTTATATGCCCAAAAATACTGTATGTATAGTATATACAATATGTACCCAGTTTTCAAATGATATGCATCTCAGTGTTTCAGCTTGCAAACAAGTCATTTATAATCCTGAAAATTTTATTCTCTAGAAAAGGATGGTTGTGTGTCACACTTTTGTACCTGCAGATTGATATTCATAAAGTATTTTCTCAATATTGTCTTTTGGATTTTGTTCATAAGCTGGATCACTGGAAGTTAGAGCCATGCTGTATACACTATATCTGGGGTGGAAGGAAGGAGGGGTAGAGGTTATCCTAGGAAAGGATAAGGGAGGAGATAAAGGTTTTGATTGCTAGGGTCAATGGTGAATGAGTTTATTTTTTATTGGTAGTCATCCTAACTTGGTGGGAGATAGCTGATATGTTACATATATTTATGGGATGTTGCAGTTCAAGGGTGTTATGAATTGTAATATCAGAACACTTCTGGCAAGACATCTGTTGAATGAATGATGGTGAACACATTTTTTTTATGTTATTGGCTATCATCCACCCTGAAAGAGGACATGCATTTGCATTTGCTCAGTTGCTGTCTTGCCAGAATTGTGCTGACATTACAGTTTACTTAACCTTTTGAATTGCAGTATCCTCTCTCCAGCTCAAGAGTGCAGGAACTGTACCTCACCCCTCCAGGTGATGGGTTGACCTAAATCCCTTCATAAATATTACCTTTCTCACACTTCAACATCTTGTCAACTCATACAAACCTACTTGTCTTTGTCTCCATTTACTCCACTCTAATGCACTCACTGATGACACTGGAGGACAGGAGAGATAGGGGGGACATGATAACCACATACAAAATACTGAGGAAATGACAAGGTGGACAAAGACAGGATGTTCCAGAGATGGGACACAGCAACAAGGGGACACAGTTGGAAGTTGAAGACACAGATGAATCACAGGGATGTTAGGAAGTATTTCTTCAGCCACAGAGTAGTCAGGAATGGAATAGTTTGGGAAACTATGTAGTGGAGGCAGGATCCATACATAGCTTTAAGTAGAGGTATGATAAAGCTCACGGTTCAAGGAGAGTGACCTAGTAGCGACCAGTGAAGAGGCAGGGCTAGGAGCTAGGACTTGACCCCTGCAGCCTCAACTAGGTGAGTACAAGCCTGTTGGATGTTCAAACCAATAGCACTAAACTTTTAATATCTCCAGCCCTTCTGGGAATGACTTCTCCCCCATTCCCCAAATTTACATGTCCCCTTAGTCATCCTGTTTTTAATAACTCTACTTTTAATAACTCTACTTTTAATAACCTCCTCATCATCTGATCTCCATGCTTCTAATTCTGTACATAATATTCACACCACACATAATCTTCAAACATGACCTCTCCACTGCCTCCAGCCTCCTCACTGCAACATTTAAAGCCCATATTTTACACCCATATAACAGTGTTATTACCAATATTTACTACTATACACTAGCGCATTCCCCATTTTTGCCTCCATGGATAAGGTGTTTTGTCTCCATAGATGCCTTAACCCTTTCATTGTCACAACCCCTGCTCGCAAACTTGCTCTCAATGTCAGATAATTAAAAAAAAAAAAAACTTGTGAAATGAAAGAGAATCTTTTTCCGATGGTAATGAAACCAAAAGTACAAAATTTGATAGCAAACTTATGGAATTACACTCGCAAAGTTTGTGGTCTTGGCAATATTTATGCTTCAGTGATTTCACTCATTTTGAGCTCCATTATTCCAGTTGATGCTATTCATAGCTATTTCACTAGTACTCTTTTTGCTCCATCGATTGAGCACAAGAAACTGCCCATTGACTTACTTCAACTACCCAATAAAGTGATCAGAAATTGATAATTTGGCCAATTTCATACAAAATCCAGGAGTTTACCTGGAGTTTACCTGGAGAGGGTTTCGGGGGTCAACACCCCCACGGCCCGGTCTGAGACCAGGCCTCATGGTGGATCAGGGTCTGATCAACCAGGCTGTTACTGCTGACCACACGCAAGTTGACGTACGAACCACAGCCAAGGCCATTTTCAAAATAAGGTCCAGAATAAACAATGCAGACATTCCTGGCACTAAAATAACATTTTCTCTGTTCATTAGTTACATCTCCAGGCCCCTCTTATTATGCTTGCTTTCCATTTTGAATTTTTATTCACTCAAAAAATAGATTTACTGTTATACAGTCTACAGCATTATTATAAAAATGGTATAAATAATATCAGCACATTTGTGAAAGCATATTAGACCCACCAATTGATGTGTATTGGATGCATGATGTGATTTGTTTTCTTTTGAACATCGGCAAAAATTGAACAGTTCCACTACTTTGAGATCAGTTTCAAGCTACTTTCCTTCCCGAAACCAATCAAAATCATCTCCATTTCTGTAATATGTCTTCCATTCCATCAAATGAAACCAAGAAAACGAGACTATAACCATAAAAACCATGTGAAAATACACCACAAATTTGCTATTTTAAACCAAAAACACAGTCACAGTTTTTTTCTCATTATGCACTGTGTGCTGCAGGATTTTTTTTATATGGTACATACTTACCACGTAAGACCCATTCTCTCATATCTGGGCCCAAGTTTACCAATCACAGCTTATCTGAGTGAGCTAAGCTTATGACATCATACTACGGGACTGACAGTGGCTTAAGAGCTGTGATACAATGGGACTGACAATGAAATGGTTAATATACTAGTCACCTTTTTCCGTCTTTTGATGGTTCACTCCATCTTTCATAGATCCATCTTCCAACAAATCCACTATCAAATATCTAAACACATTTACTCCCTCCAGTATGGTATTCAATCTTTCATTGCTTATACGTGTATATTTTTTCCACTCATCACCTTGCTCTTTTTGATGATCATTTTTAATTTCCTTCTATAACATACACTTCCAAATTTATTCCCAACTATTGCAACATTTTTTCAGAATCTCCTAAAGGAACTCGTCTGCAAAGAGCAATTGTGACAGCTCCAATTTTGTAGCAAATTTATAATCTTTCAATCCCGCACTTCTCCCCAATACCCTATGATTCACTTTTTACAATCTTGTCTGTAAATATGTATGTTTAATGGCCATGGTGTGAAAACACATCTCTATCTAAGGCCTACTTTTACTGGATTACAGGATGGAAGGTATATGAAGCAAATAGTTTGCTAGAGATTGATAATTATTATAACGAAATGCTAAACCCTTAAGGCCATACAGCACCGCAAGAGATTGATAAAAGATACCTAAGAAATTAATAATAAAAGTGCAGCTTATTTTCATTTTGCACCTTTTTGTTTTGTCTTATTATGACTAAATAGTTTAATTGACACAAGAAAAATATAAAGTCTGTTTTTGAATGTATGATTTTCTTCCACCCTGGCTAGTAATATATTCCTTGTGTAAGAGAAACTCCAGGTGTCATGTGTATAATAGCAAGGTGGTGATTTTGGTGAGAAAAAAGACTTATGTATGAGATATAGGAGGATGGACAGATGTTCAGGAGAATGTTGTAAATGCTTTTAAATATTTACAGTATATGAAGGAGGTCATGAAAGTAGGCAGATGAATGGAAATATAAAGAGCATATACAACTAAAGGTGTGCAGTCATGTATCTATTTACTGAATTTACATTAAATCCCATCTTAGGGATTAAAATGGTTTTTATATTAGTGTCTAGGTGCATTGTAGCTTTTAGCTCTTGTTTAGTAGATAGGACATAAACCAAACCAACTGATAGAGATTTAACCCTTTCAGGGTCATGACCCCTGCTCTCAAACTTGCTCTCAGGGTCGCAAAATTAAAAAAAAGTGTTAGTTTTTTAATGAAATGGTAAAGAATCATTTTCTGAAGGTAATAAAACAAAAAGTAGAAAATTTGATGGAAAACTGATGAAATTACACTTTCGTGAATTTTGCTGTCAGTGATATTTACACATCAGCGATTTTGTACACTCTGAGCCTGATTTTAGGCCAATTTCATTGTTCCAGTTGACCATATTCTTAGCTGTTTCGATTAAGTACAAGAAACTGCCCATTTGCCTATTTAAACTACCCAATAAAGAGATCAGAAATGGTAACTTGGCCAATTTTGCACAAAATTCAAGAAATTCCAATTTCAAAATAATGTATGGGTCAGAATAAACAATGCAGATATTCCTGGTACTTAAATAACATTTCTTCTGTTCATTAGTCATGTCCCCAGGCTTGCTTTCCATTTTGAATTTTTATTCACACAAAAAATAGAATATTTACTGTTATGCAGACTACTGCATCATTGTAATATTGTATAAGTAATGTCAGTGCATTCATAAATGCATATTAGAATGGCCAGATGGACATGTATTGGACAAGTGATGTCATTTGTGCACTCTGGAATGTCAGCAAAAATAAAACATTTCCACTACTTTGAGCTCAATTTCAAGCTACTTTCAGTCCTGAAACCAATTAAAACCATCTAGATTTCTGTAATATATCTTCCATTCTATCAAATGAGACCAAGAAATTGAGAATACATCAATAAAAATCATATGAAAATACACTACAAAGTTGCTGTTTTAAAGCATGGTCGTAGTTTTTTTTTCCCATTCTGCACTGCTTGCTGCAGGACTTTTTTTTTATGGTGCATGCTTACTGCATAGACCCATTCTTTCATATCTAGGCTCATATTTATTGCTCATAGCTTATCTGAGTGAGCTGAGCTGATGGCGTAGTACTACAGGACCAACACTGGCTTGAAAGCCGTAGAACAATGGGACTGACCTTGAAAGGGTTAAATGATTATTTAAATCTCTTTGTATTAAAACAGAAGCATAAAATGTGTATTAGAGGATAAGATGCTAGTCTCAAAATGTGACGAAATGCGTCTTGAGCATGTTTTGAGTAGTTTACTAACTGTGGTGTATGGGAGAAGAAACTTGGGTGTTTAATGCAGGATTAACAAGGATGGTTATCAGATAGCTGGCCAAAAGAAGGCTGCTCTGAGAACTGACTAGCAAGAAAGATGTTCTGAGATTGTGCCAACAGCAAGGCTGCTCTGAGACCTGCCTCTAAAAGCAGGAGAATGGTCAGACTTTCAAATACGTATACTTTTCTCCAGAGGAATTATATATACATGTACATTATAATTTTATGCATATTATTTTTGAATATGCAAGGAGTAAATGTACAAACCAGAGGACTCTTGACATTTTTAATAGAGTGACACTTGTGGTTTAGGAACTTGAAGTGTAAGTGATAGTAGGATGAAGATGACTATTGTGAGGGGTAAAGGAAAAAGAGGAATAACTTGGTTTAATTGAGAGAGCATATATGTGAGCTTTGAAAGAGGGCTATAACTACTACTGTGCTGCTTGATAGAAGGAATACATAGAAACATAAATGCTCCATCCTTTGATAAATGTTGGCATTGTCATATATGTAAAGTTGATTTGATATTAGCAAATTTGATAATGTGACTGAAGCTTTTCTTTAAAATGATTCACATGTTTATGGATCTTTCATATTCCAAGACAAACTAAATTCTTAAACCAGCTGAGAAGTTATGTCTGTATTGCATGAAGTTCAAGTATTGTTATGTGTAAATCTCAGGTTTACCATTAGATGTTGCAGTATTATGACCAGGACTCAGAAGATGCACCTTACTATGCTTTGATTTTTATGGTGACTGGGTTGGGTTAATATTTTTGTAGAAGTCATAAATGCTAGCTAACCTTGTATTCAGATCTAAGAATTGAAGTCCAGATGTAAATTAAAAATTAAACCTCAATTTTTGCTGCATAATAAAATAAAATAAGCATAGCTTAGTTTTACTGCATTTATACAAATTTTGACCACCTCGTACAAATGCTAGGTTCTCCCCTATCTTTTGAAGTCAAACTCTACTAGAGACTTATAATTTTTCAGTGATTATTGATTTTCTAAGTGTATTCTATATTTGTCTTGGATTTAGTACTGTAATGTAGTGGTTTGTTGCCACTAGTTTTGCTAAAAATATGAAATTTTCTCCCTTGTCTTGTATAGCTTCTATATAGATCTGTTGTATCAGATGTCACTGTCCATGTAGCCATAATGCCTATGAGACAATACTCAAGTTTCTCACCTATGATACTTTCCCAAAATATTCAGGGTCAAGAGTAACAGATTTTTACACATTACAAGCAAGGAAGGTAACTGAAGTACCAACAGTGTTTTGAAAGCAGTTAAGCCTTTCCTAAAGTAGTGACTGAATTTAAAAGTTCATTGAGTTGCTGTATTACAAAACACTCTTTGTAATAATATTATTTGTAGAGTTAATTATCAGTTACATTATTAGATTTACATGCTAGAATAAGTAGTTTATCCAGGCTTGTTTACCATAAATTTTCCTTGAGTATTGCTCATATTTACACCCAGATATTTCTCAGATTTGTTATATCATTTTACATAAATGTTCTCTTGCATAGATTTAAGCCCAGTATTTCATACCAGCATTTTCCTTTATTTATTTTGTATATACAGTAGTGTTTATATTTATTTGACCTGGTTTGTATTTAGCAGTTTTGTCATCTGCTAATGCCCACAGCGAGTGCATTTTTACAATTTGGTGTCCATGTTTGTATGAATGAATGTTTACTTTGTGTCTGAGGTATTCCAGTTTTTGAATACTGTAATGTTGTTCTTAAACAGTGACTAAGTGGTAAAATGGAAGTGTGCCTGATAACCCACTTTATGGTAATTTTAAAATGATGATGTGACCAATAGGACAGGCAATAATTAAAATATCAGGATGTTCAGATGATGTATTCTTCGCAAAATCCTTACATGCTCATATTTAGTACAGTATTGAATAGCTGGTTTTGTATATTGCATTTATTTATCAAATAAAGCATGTCATTTAATATTAAATGAGGTAAATTTATTCACAGTTTGTAATAGAAGGTAGAAGTACTATGAAGATGAGTTGCAATATCTGACATTTCTTTAGAGGCCTATACACATATTGCTACAACTTTTGTGGGAAAGTAATAAACCAATCCAAGTCAAATATTGCCTTGCAAATGTAAAGTCATTAAGTTTGATAAAAAAAAGAAGGAAAGCAAAACTAAAGTTCCTCGGATTAAGAGCTTTATAGTAACATTGAGGCAGTACCCTTGAAAGGTGCAAGAACTTTAGCAGGAGCAGTACTTCATGCAGTTCCTAAGCTAGCATTCAATATATGAACAGTACAGTTACTGAAGTATTATGTTATATGCATTAAAGATGCAATTTTGCAATTGCAGTGGAACTTAAAAATAGAACAAAATAAAATATTGTTTCTTTATTGCATGAAATAATATTATACAATATAAGCATTTTTTTTTTTTTTTTTTTTTTTTTTTTTTTCCCTCAAGGAAGGTTCCTTGATGTTGGTGAGGGGCTCTTGATTTAGGGAATTAGATCTGTGCTCTAGTTCCCCGAATTAAGCCTGAATGCCTTCCACATCCCCCCCTCCAGGCGCTGTATAATCCTCCGGGTTTAGCGCTTCCCCCTTGATTATAATAATAATAATAATTTTATTTTTTTAACAAGTCGGCCGTCTCCCACCGAGGCAGGGTGACCCAAAAAGAAAGAAAATCCCCAAAAAGAAAATACTTTCATCATCATTCAACACTTTCATTTCACTCACACATAATCACTCTTTTTGCAGAGGTGCTCAGAATACAACAGTTTAGAAGCATATACGTATAAAGACACACAACATATCCCTCCAAACTGCCAATATCCCAAACCCCTCCTTTAAAATGCAGGCATTGTACTTCCCATTTCCAGTACTCAAGTCCAGCTATATAAAAATAACCGGTTTCCCTGAATCCCCTCGCTAAATATTACCCTGCTCACACTCCAACAGCTTGTCAGATCCCAAATACCATTTGTCTCCATTCACTCCTATCTAACACACTCACGCATGCTTACTGGAAGTCCAAACCCCTCGCCCACAAAACCTCCTTTACCCCCTCCCTCCCACCTTTTCTAGGACGACCCCTACCCCGCCTTCTTTCCCTTACAGATTTATACACTCTCCATGTCATTCTACTTTGATCCATTCTCTCTAAATGACACAAACCACCTCAACAACCCCTTCAGCCCTCTGACTAATACATTTATTAACTCCACACCTCCTAATTTCCACACTCTGAATTCTCTGCATAATGTTTACACCACACATTGCCCTTAGACAGGACATCTTCACCGCCTCGAACCGCCTCCTCGCTGCAGCATTTACAACCCAAGCTTCACACCCATATAAGAGTGTTGGTACCACTATACTTTCATACATTCCCTTCTTTGCCTCCACAGATAATGTCTTTTGTCTCCACATATACCTCAATGCTCCACTTACCTTTTTTCCTTCATCAATTCTATGGTTAACCTCATTCTTCATGCATCCATCTGCTGACACGTCAACTCCCAAATATCTGAAAGCATACACTTCTTCCATACTCCTCTCCAATTTGATATCCAATTTTTCTTGATCTAAATCATTTGATACCCTCATCACCTTACTCTTTTCTATGTTCACTTTCAACTTTCTACCTTTGCACACTCTCCCAAACTTGTCCACTAACCTTTGCAGCTTTTCTTTAGGATCTCTCATAAGCACAGTATCATCAGCAAACAGTAACTGTATCAATTCCCATTTTGTATTTGATTTCCCGTAATTTAATCCCACCCCTCTTCCCAACACCCTAGCATTTACTTCTTTTACAACCCCATCTATAAATATATTAAACAACCATGGTGACATTATGCATCCCTGTCTAAGACCCAGCTTTACCAGGAAGTAGTCTCCCTCTCTTCTACACACCTAACCTGAGCCTCACTATCCTCATAAAAACTCTTTACAGCATTTAGTAACTTACTATCTATTCCATATACTTGCAACATCTGCCACATTGTTCCCCTATCCACTCTGTCATATGCCTTTTCTAAATCCATAAATGCAATGAAAACTTCCCTACCTTTATCTAAATACTGTTCACATACATGCTTCAATGTAAACACTTGATCTACACATCCCCTACCCACTCTAAAATCTCCTTGCTCATCTGCAATCCTACATTCTGTCTTGCCTCTAATTCTTTCAATTATAACCCTACCATACACTTTTCCTGGTATACTCAGTAAACTTATTCCTCTATAATTTTTACAGTCTATTTTGTCCCCCTTCCCTTTATATAAAGGTATTATACATGCTCTCTGCCAATCTCTAGTTACCTTCACCTTTTTCATACATTTATTAAACAAAAATACCAACCACTCCAACACTATATCCTCCCTGCTTTTAACATTTCTGTCATGATCCCATCAGTTCCAGCTGCTTTACCCCCTTTCATTCTACGTAATGCCTCACGTACCTCCACCACACTTACATTCTGCTCTTCTTCACTCCTAAAAGATGGTATACCTCCCTGGCCAGTGCATGAAATTACCGCCTCCCTTTCTTTGTCGACATTTGAAAGTTCCTCAAAATATTCCTACATCTACCCAATACCTCCAGCTCCCATTTACTAACTCCCCTACTCTGTTTTTAGCTGACAAATCCATTCACTGCTGGAGGCAGTGGAGATGTCATGTCTGAGGGCAATGTGGTGTGAATATAATGCAGAGAATTCGTAGTTTGGAAGTTAGGAGGAGGTGCGGGATTACCAAAACTGTTGTTCAGAGGGCTGAGGAAGGGTTGTTGAGGTGGTTTGGACATGTAGAGAGAATGGAGCGAAACAGAGTGACTTCAAGAGTGTATCAGTCTGTAGTGGAAGGAAGGCGGGGTAGGGGTCGGCCTAGGAATGGTTGGAGGGAGGGGGTAAAGGAGGTTTTGTGTGCGAGGGGCTTGGACTTCCAGCAGGCATGCATGAGCGTGTTTGATAGGAGTGAATGGAGACAAATGGTTTTTAATACTTGACGTGCTGTTGGAGTGTGAGCAAAGTAACATTTATGAAGGGGTTCAGGGAAACCAGCAGGCCGGACTTGAGTCCTGGAGATGGGAAGTACAGTGCCTGCACTCTGAAGGAGGGGTGTTAATGTTGCAGTTTAAAAACTGTAGTGTAAAGCACCCTTCTGGCAAGACAGTGATGGAGTGAATGATGGTGAAAGTTTTTCTTTTTCAGGCCACCCTGCCTTGGTGGGAATCGGCCAGTGTGATAATAATAAAAAAAAAAAAAAAAATCATCCATTCATTCCCTAAGCTTTCTTAACTTGTTTATCTCACCAAAAAATTTTCTTATTTTCATCAAAATTTCTTGACAGTGCCTCTCCCACTCTGTCATCTGCTCTCCTTTTACAATCTCTCACCACTCTCTTCACCTTTCTTTTACTCTCCATTACTTTGCTCTTCTTATAACATATATTGTAAAGATAAAAAAAAAACTGTTAATTACAACTTCATATAATGAGTTTACATAAGAGTGATATTGAAGATTATGAGCTATGTAATAATTATGATGCTTACTGCATCATTCACATGCAGATACGTATACAGGGTGTTTCATTTGTAGGAGGCCCCAATCTGGTACTCTCATAGTTGCAACCATCTTGTTTATACGTATAGTATGTCTGTAGTAAACGATAACTCAGGGCCTCTTTATGTGTAGGAGGCTCTGAGTTATCGTTTACTACAGACATAATATATAAACAACATGGTTGCAACTACGAAAGTGCCCACTTGGGGCCTCCTATGAGTGAAACACCTTGTATACTATATATACCCTATATATACATTTATCCATACATATAAACAATATGTATTCACATTTATCCATAAACATAAATAATATGTATATACATATATGCGTACTTACTGTACTGCACATATGACAGTGATCGAGTCCACAGCGGGTTCAGCATTTTGGGCAGGACATGAAAGTAGTAAATACAGTGATGTAATAATAATGTTCTCTCTGCTCAGGACCTCATCTTAGACTGTTGTGTCTGTTCTGTCTGCTCAGGACCTCATCATCTTAGGCTCTTGTGTCTGTTTTGTCCTATTACCTAATGCAGTGCTATAGTATTGGGACATTGTGACTGAGCTTGTGCAAGATAATGCATATATTAAAAAACATACACTAAACCTGTTGAGTAAAAGGACACATGTGCAACTAATGTGACATTTGAGTGTGGCAACATTTTGCTCTCCAGGAGCTTTATCAAGCTGTTACGAACAACACATGGACACAGAGAGAGCTGTAGTAGTTGTAATACTAGTGGTAGTAGTAATACTAGAGGTAGTAGTAGCAGTAATACATGTAGTAGAAAAATCAACTTGCACATCAATAGAAGGTTATAAAAGCTGTTACTTGGGTAGCATAAAAATAGGTTAGACAAATAGTATTTCTATTAGTAATTGTATTTGAGAAGGCCTGTTTCAGTGTTCCTCCTATGTTATGTTCCTGTGTAGTAAATAGCAGCAGTGACTATGTGATAGCAGGGTTTATTGTTTTGAGAAGGATTCTTGCTAATACTTCAGAGATGATGAAGCTGTCTTTATTTTGCTTAACTGTGTTAGAGACAGCGATTAATGATGATTCAAGGCATTTACGTCTGCAGAAATAAGGTTCTCTGATCATTAGTCAGGCATCATTGAATTTCATGAGGTGATTGGTGGAATTCCAGTGTTGCATGCAGGCATTGTTCAAGTTATCATTCCTACATGCATTAATGTGTTCCCTGAGACATGTTTCGATGTTCCATGCTGTTTCACCTTCATATATTCTGTCACAGCCTCCACAAGGTATAGTGTGAACCCCTGCATTGACTGGTT